AAGGAGTCAATCTGAAGACCAGAGAAGCGAGAAGACTGGGGCCCTCCCCGCCCACCCATACTCTCACACGGGACAGGCCGCCCAGCCCACCAGCCCGTGTGAAGTGCCAACGCCCACCCCGGCCAAGCCCCCACCTGTCCCCATCCTTGTCCCGTCCCCGGGCCCGTAAGTGAGATTGCACATTAACTACTGTAAGGAGGGAGTGGCGTTGGCAAATGTGAACCTGAGGATGTCAGATACTGATGAGAATAAAATAAACTAAACGCCTTTGTAACAGCCCTGCGCGTGCTGCTCACTGGGGGGCGCTGCGGCCCTGCTGGTCCTCCCAAGGCCAGCAGGTGGCAAAATGGTGACTTGGCGACCGTGGTTGGAGCCCCAGAACCACCAGCTTCAAAACCCAGAGGGAAGAATGGAGGAGAAGGAATTGCAGCATGGCCGTCCCCCGGGAGGTGATTTCTTGCTTTCTGTCTCTGGTGAGAGCACGCATCCTCTAGCAAAACTTTTTTAATTATTTAATTTTATTCATTCATTTATTTTAATTTGATCAGAGAGAGGGAGGAAAAGTGAGAAAGCAAGGCACCAGGTCCAGGACTCAAACTGTGGTCAGCCATGTGGGAGTCCGGCACCTCAACCACAATGCCACCCACTGGTCCCTAGCAAAACTTTAAAAAAAAAAAAAAAAAAAAAAAGGTCCTGCCTTGTCGCTCCCATTCGCAGCCAATGCTCCCCGTGTTGGGAGGAGGAACACAGAATGACGTGGTTAAGGTATTGACTCCCGCATGGCTGACCGTACCTCGAGCCCCCCAGACATGGTGGCTTGAAAGTACCACCGGGCGACTGAGTGTGTATGTGTGCACGCCCAAAATCCTGAGAGAGCATTAGTGTGGCCATGCCCCCGGGGGTGCTTCCTCATGTTTCCTCTCTCTGGTGAGCACATGCACCCTACAGTAAATATAAAGATGAACCAGGGCCGGCTTGTGACATGGAGTTGCACATGCAGGACCCCACATGGCCGACTTAGCTTGAGCCCTAGATCCAGCAGCTTGAAAAACATACCAAGTACGTGTGTGTGCGCGTGTGTGTCTCTGTCTGTCTGTCCAAAAGGACAGTGGAGAAGACTGCAGCGTGGCCATCCACCCCAGGCAGTGGCTTTCTCTCTGACAAGCACAGAGATGCCCTAGAGGGAAGAAAAACCCGGAATATTTGTGTGTGTGTACACACACACACACACACACACACTCCTGGACCGCAATTGCAAGCAGATGAGGACTTGGAATGAGAATCTCCAAGGCCAGCAAGTGGCGTAGTGGTTAAGGCACTGGACTCCCACATGACCACCTGCAGTTCAAGTCCTAGACCCAGAGGCTTAAAACTCATGCCTGCTGCTTGTATGGGGGTTGGGGGGGTATCCAAAATTTTAACTGCAAAGTGGAAGAGAAGGGATTATAGTGTGACCACCCTGCCTTAGGTGTGATTTCTCACTTTCTCTTTTTTAAATTTATTTATTTATTTATTTTATTTGACCAGAGAGAGAGAGAAGGAAAGTAAGATAGCAAGCCTCCAAGTCCAGGACTTGAACCATGGTTGACCGTGTGGAAGTCCAGCACCTTAACTACCACGCCGTCTGCCAGCCCCCCTTTCTTCTGAACGCACATACCCTATACCAAAAACCTCTTTAGGGCCAGTAGATGGCGTGGTGGTTAAGGTGCCACACTCCCACATGACTGCCTACAATTCCAGTCCATCCCAGACCTGGTTTTTTTTTTTTTTTTTCCCTTTCCATCTCCCTCTAGTCAAATTTTTAAAATAATAACAAAATAAAATAAATAGATCATTGTTCTTTTTTTAAAAAAAAAAGTCTTGAGGCCAGCAGGTGGCATGGTGGTTAAGGGCACTGGACTCCCACATGGCCAACCATGGTTCAAGTCCTGGACTTGGTGGCTTGCCTTCTTTTTTTTTTTTTTTTTTTTTTTTGTGAAGAGGTTTTTGCTATAGCACGCGTGCACTCACCAGACAGACAGAAAGAGACAGAGAGACAGAAAGCGAGAAATCACCCCCCAGGGAGGATGGTCACGCCGCAATCCCTTCTCCATTCTCCTCTGGGGATCTTGGGCACACACGCGCCCAGCGTGAGTTTAAGGCACTGGGTCCAACGATAGCCATTACACTAACTGCTGGTCCCATGTTGGCTTGCTTTCTCACTTTCTCTCTGTCCTTCTCTGGTCACATTGAAATAAATAAATAAGTGGGTTTTTTTTTTTTTTAATGTCTCTTGGGGCCAGCAAGTGGCAAGGTGGTTAAAGTGCTGGACTCCCACATGGCCCAACCACGGTACAAGTCTCAGACCTGGTGGCTTACTTTCTCAATTTCTCTGGTCAAATGAAAAAAGAAAGAATAATACATAAAATGCAATAAGTTTTTAAAAAATTAAAAGTCTCTAAAGAAAGACAAAAAGATCCGATACAAGTGAGCAATCCACATACCACAGGGGACAAATGTGTACAAAAAAGGCTGAGATTTTATTGCCAAGTTGGCACATGCGGAAGGCACAGGGCATTCGGCTTTGGGACAGGGGCAGTAAAAATGGGGAGAGGTGTGTGTCCAAGGTCACCCTACCTCCACCACCCCCTAAGCGCACTTGAGACAGGACCAGCAGCAGGGGCTCCAGCCCAGGACCCTGAGGGCCCCTCTGGCTCTGGATGTGAGCCTTGGGGACAGCTCCCCAGGGGGCCTTCTCCTCCCAGGGTACTTAGCATGGCGGTTCCCTGGCCCCCCAGGGTGGGCTGGGGTCAGAGGGCGAACAGGAGGATGAGGACCAGAAGGAGCACTCCCAGCAAGACCAGGATAGCACACCACTGTCGACGGTCTGGGGACAAGAGGGTCAGAGGTCACGGGAAGAAAGGGGACCACTCAGAAGCCGCCCCTGCACCAGGACCTCCTGCCAGAGGCCTCACCACTTGTCATGTGCGACACTTTGGCCATCTTCCTCAGGACGCCATCCATCCGGGACTGCGTGTGATCCATCTCATGAGCGAAGGCATCCAGCATGCTGCCAACACCGGGACTGCATCAGGCCCTGCAGGGCCCCCAAAGGCCAGTGTGGCCGAGGACCCCCGGCCCACCCCCAAGGTCCCGGCCTCACATGCCCTGCTCATCCAGCTCCTCCCCGACGCGGCCAGACATGTGTTTCAGCACCCGGATGCTCCCAGACACCATCTCCAGCTGTTGGTCCTGTTCCTCTAGGATCAGCTGCAGGGAGGGGGGAGCACCGTCAGCAAGAGCCTCTGAGCCACCCGTGGACTCTTCCACCCCAGGGCCACCCACACCAACCTGCTGCGTGGCCTGCTGTTCCTCGATGTACCGAGAGGCGGCCGAGATGGCGCTGGCATCCAGCAGGTCGCTGGGTGGCTTCTGGGCAGCCGGCTTGCTCACCAGCATCTGTGGGGACACGGACCATGGGCTTCGGGGAGGACACTCACTCGCAGCAGGGCAGTCACATGTTTGTGGGACAAAGTGGCGGTCTCTAGGGTGTAACGACCTGGGGTCCCCAGACCTGTCACTTAAAAGGGGTCTTGAGGGGGAACTAGCAGGTTGTGGGGTGGTTAAGGGGTTGGACACTCCCACATGGCCAACCACAATTCAAATCCTGGACCTGGTGGCTTGCTTTCTCACTCTCCTCCCCTCTTCGCTCTTGGTGTGTCTCTTTCTGGTCAAATTTAAATAAAGGAATGAGGGACCAGCAATTGGGGAAACGGCTATGGTGCTGGATGCTTTCTGTCTTTCTGGCGAGCGCACGCACCCTATAGCAAAAACCTCTCCAAAAATTAAAAAGTAAAAGAATATAGGTATAGAGACTCTCACCTCCCATGTACACACAAGAAATCAGTGTAGATCCAGAGGGGAAGTAGTTACACACGGAAATTCACACAGGGAGGGCTCAGTTGCACACACTCAGAAAAGACAGGCAGGTAGACAGATCCACACACGCAGAGGGTGGGCGCTGATGCAGAAGGCACAGGCATGCATACGCGTGCGTGCACACCCAGAAATCCGGGGAATACACGTGGAGGGGTTAGACTTGCACTCAAAGAGGAGCCCCAAACCCCAGAATCTTAGCTGTGCATGTTGACTTGGGACACCTTACCTCTCTATTATTCCTCTCCATGAAGGCGACAGCCGCTGGGCTGACCATATGGTCCCTCATTTCCTGGGGGTGGGGTGGGGTGCAAGGACACCATTACAGAGGAAAGACACCCCAACCTTCCCTCACTGGCTTCAACAAGACTGGCCCTCACTTGGACGGCCTCCCGCATCCGTTCCACGAACATTTTTCTCTCCTGGAGGTCCCCGGCTGGGAGCTTGAACTTGCTGGGGTTGGCTTCCACAATGCGTGGGCTAAGAGTCAAGGGTCAAGGCCAAAGCAGATGCCACCCCCTCGCCCCTCTCCTCCACCTCTCAACTCCTCCAAGTGTCCAGCCTCTCTCCAAGGGCTAGCTCCTAGAGGCCCCTGCCACCGTGGTGGGCTCTCCCGCGCCACCCCCCAAAGCCCCAGGATATCGATGGTCTCTTCCAAGTCCTCGAGGTCCCACTCAATGCTTCGCAGGCCATTCCGCAGCTCGTTGGTCGTCCAGTCCAGCTCCTCGCGGCCGACCCCCGCGCCCTCCTGCAGGAACTCGCACCAGCGCTGGTACAGCCCACGGGCATTGTTCACCGCCTTCTGCACCTCGCTGTGGGCAGGGGCGCAGCTGGGGGACCCGGCATGTCCCCCAGCTGCGCCCCTGCCCCCTGTTGCGCCCTCAATCCAGTGGGGAGCTCAGGAGACCCTCCCCAGTATCTCCTTCCGTATCCCTCCCACTCGCCCACGGGGAGATCCTTTGCACCCCGACGGGCATGCCCAGATCCGCTTGGCTTGTGCTGGCCGGCACCCAGGCAGTGGCACCCTCCGCCCCCTCTCGTCGTTGTCACTCACCCTCGAACTACAAAAAAAGGGTCTTCGAGAGACATGTCAAACCCCCCTCCCCCCAGCTGAGCCCGCTGCGGGCTCGGACCTAGTTAGCACCTCACTCCTTGCCCAGTTAGGAGCGTGCCACCTCCCCCGCCCCCGTCACGCCACCATAGAGCGCGAGGCCTCCGGGAGAGAAAGAGAGACCCTAGAGGCCCGAAGTGCGGAACTTCCGCTCTCTTCGCAGCCATCTTTGTTGTGGGCAGAGGCAGCTTCCTGTCTGCTTGCCCGGCCCTTTCGCCTTCGCGCAGTCTCCACAATTCGAGGCAGTGTCGTAGCGCTCCCTAGCTCAGTTTGAGTCCGAGCTTGGAAGCTGGGTTCGAGACCCAGCCCCTCTGGTTGTTGCTAAGCAACCTCAGTTTCCTTTGGCGAATAAATAATAGCTTCCTTTATCTCAGACGCGATGATGGCTGGGGAAGGGGGGCTCATGCGATTCGTTGAACCTTTCAACGGACTCTCTGAGCTGGTTCCCGGCTCCCGTCCTGGGAGATTGTCCCAGCCCAGGGTCCTGAATGGCAGGTTTGGGCAGAGTTGGGAATATTCCTCCTCTTCTCCCTGCGGCGGTGGGCAGTCTGCGGGGACTTCTGCTGGACTTTTCCCTCCTCCTCTTTTTTCCTACAAGGACGTAGGAAGGGGTAGGAGGGCGCCTTGAGATCGTCCCGGGGCGGAGTAGGCGTGAGTCGGGGCGTTGGAGCCGGCAGGGGAGGACGGGATCCCGTTTAGAGCGCGCATGGAGGTCGGTTTCGTAGCCGTTTCTGCCTAAGGGCGGGTGTCTTTCTGAGTGCAAGGCTAGGGGTCGCGAGACGGGGTGTGCAGCTGGCTCCGAGGATGGCCTCCGTGGCAGTCGTCGACGTGTGGGATCATTGCCAGGGGAGGGGCTCCTAGGGTCACCCCTGTGTGACAGAGGCTCGCAGTATGAGGTTTCCCGGAACGCTTTTATTTTTATTATTTTTATTTTTGGAGTGGGAAGCCAGACCTCCCCTTGGAGGGTGGGAGAGATGTCGGAGGCACTCCGTTCTTGGAAGCCGACATTGTGTCACTGTCGCTGTGTCCCCGAGCGTCCCAAGCATGCATGAGATTACCTGGGAGGGACGGGGTGCCAATAACCTGGGAGAAGGAAAAATCGGGGTCTCCTTGTTGGGGAGGTTTGGGACGAGCCAGTCACCTCC